TTGGCATTCTGTCCTACCTACAACGACCATCGCAGCAAAGTTAAAGACCAACAGGGACATCATGTTGGCCATGGGTCCGTTCAGCTGATGGGTAGCCTGCCACACCTTCAGGATGTCCTGAAACGAAGTGACAAACACGGTCGATAGTTGACGGTATTCGGCAGTGTAGTCTCTCCTCGCTACTCTAATCATAACTTTGCTGCCAGTGGCTATGAAAATCTGAAGGACCTCCCGTCTACAGGGACAGCATCGTATGCAAACGTGTTGGACAAAGTACATGTAACCGGTTTCAAAACAAACACCTGTGTTTTAAATTTGTGGACGCTTTGCCGGCAGTCAGAGAGGTTGAAGCTGTTCCACCAAAATTTCAATTTTTCAGGGCAGGTTTGCCTGTCTGAAACACCCAAACTGAACTGGTTGGACTTATTTGGTTCGGGGATATTTGGCCAGCAATATCCCGGAATCCAGCAAAGTCTTCCATTATGCGTTACTCAATGGCAAATACCATGTACATCAATGAAACTGATATATTTCTGCCCCTACGGAAGTAAAAATCACCGCGGCTAAAGGGTTTCCTTCAACCCTCAAAATTCTATGGTAGTGAGACATTAGATTTTGGTAGATATTGGTGGATTTGGGAAGTGTTTGGGGGAGGTAAACTCACGTGCATGATCATCCGCAGGTCCCCTGTCTTCTCTAGCAGCTGCTCCTGGATGCTCCGCATGAAGCAGATGATGGTCTCGCATTGCACTGTGTAGTTGACAACAACCGCCGCGATGATGGAGTTGTAGATGAGGCAGCCAAACACGTTCACACCCAGCAAGACTATGTTCCAAGCTTGCCTGGCCCAGTTTGTGAAGAGACAGAAAAATCACACGTTAAAAAAAATTTGGTAAAATCATTAAGCAGCAGTGTTGTATTCAAGTCCGTCACAAGTAAGTCTGTATTAAAGTCTATCACAAGTCATTCGGTCTCAAGCCAATTCCAAAGCTATTCAAATGAGCTGTGACAAAGACATTCTTTTCTCACTGTTCAGCCTGTTACTTATGACTGGCCTTTTGAAGGGACTCGTGACTGGTCTTGTGAAGGGACTTGTGACTGGACTTGTGACTGGCCTTGTGAAGGGACTTGTGACTGGACTTGTGACTGGCCTTGTGAAGGGACTTGTGACTGGCCTTGTGAAAGGACTTGTGACTGGCCTTGTGAAGGGACTTGTGACTGGCCTTATGAAGGGACTTGTGACTGGACTTGTGAAAGGACTTGTGATGGAATCAAATACAACACTGGTAAGCAATATCCAATTTCTTTCTTTTATAGTGATTCAGTTAGCACTAGGGCTACATTATCCAATGGAGGCAGTGGGTTCCGTACTTAGGGCCTACAAACAATTTGGAACCTACAAAAAGTTTGAGGGCCTACGAATACCACAGCTGCACCATGAAATGCAAACAACAAACGTGAGTGCAAGGACAGATTCGGCATCTCTGATTTGTCATTCTATTTTGGAAGGCTTCAGACGAGGCGGTTGATATCTTACTCCAGCTTCGCATCAACGTGCAAAATTATTCCATTTATAGCTGTTCACCCTGCAGTGCATTTAGCGCCAATTACAGGATGAAGTGATAATTAAGAAGACAAGGCAGAAATGTTCAGATTTACAGGTGGGAGGAGAAACCCCGGGCAAATATTCCAAGAAAATAAAAACACAGAATCAGGCAGGGACTGAAAACCCAATCCACATGCTGACCTACGTGAGATTCGGACCTGGGTCGCAGAGGTGGAAGGCGAGGAAAGAGGCACTACACCAGCCTGACTCCCTTAACTATGGGGCTTCAGTGCTTACCAGTGCTGTGAGATTGGTACTTGCACCCATGACCAAATAGGGCCTTCTGTGTGCCTGTAGGGCCAATGGAAGGCTGGTGCCTATCAAGTACCGAAGTGAATAGGTCACACACACATTTATGTGCGTGGGAGCTACTAGCGTGACAACCAGCGCATGTTGGTTCCAACACGCACACGTACTCCATCCGTTTGCACTTCACTTCCTGGTTGAAAATGACGTCGCACTTTGGCACTCTATATAGCCTACGGAATACTGGTGACTTGGGCCCACGGAACACTGGTTCCTAGGGTCTACGAAATACCAATGCCTTTGGCCTGTGGAACATTGGTGCTAGGCCTACGGAACACTAGTGATTTGTGCCTATAGAACACTGCTGCCTAGGGCTTACAGAACACCGGTGCCTTGGGCCGACGGCACACTAGCGCCTTGGACCTATCTAGGGCCTATGGAACACTAGTGCCTGGGCCTATGGAGCACTGGTGAATGCACCAGTGGAACACTTAACGCAGCCCTGGGCAGCAGAGGTGGTGTTATGAATAAAACCATTATGCTTTCCAGCCTACGGCAGCTCCACTTACACCGAGAAGAATGGGTAGATGGTGCTCTCCAGTCCAAAAGCAGTGAGAAACAGTGCAAGAACTCCCATCATGCCGACTACCCACAATGCCCCACAAATCAGAATCCACCTGGCGCAATTGGAAGGGGGAAAAAAAGACAGCGGCAAATCAACTCAGCAAAAAAGGTGGAGGCATTTATTACCCACATTTCGATTGAATTCAAATATCTGCCGAGAGGTGTTTTGCTTGAATTTGATCGAGTTGGGAGGGTAGAGCCTTAACGTTATTGCCTGACACAGGGGTGTTATTTGGTGTTCAGGACCACTGGCAGAGCCGAGGATTTCAGAGGATCTGGGAGAAGTCCCATAGTGAGTGCCGGGGGGGGGGGGGGTTCCCCACTAAATTTGCTGCAGTGTCTTCAAAAGTTCAGTTTACATTCAACACAATATTCTTCATCTTTCTTTTACTTGATCTGTCAGAATTCAAGATATTGCACTAAAGTGGAATCAATTCTACTGTTGTTTTTCAATTCTAAACGGTTGGGTTTGACACAAGCAACAGTTTTTTCAAAACTTCACTTGAAAAGTAGAAACAAAATTTCAAAGACTGACAATTGGGCAGCGTCCCATAATTTGGAACAGTCGGAACATTCCATTTGGAACATTAAATGCTCATTCCAGAAGGTGCATTCATTCACTCCGCCGGGAACACGGTGTTCCCACGGGCATGATGCCTCAGCACGGTCTTAAGCACAAAACTCACTGTTCCCTCTGATGCGCGGACGTTCCAATGGAATACTAGCATTCCAGTGGGAACAGTCCAATAGAACCCGGATGTTCCCGAACTTCTGAGACACTTCCTTAGGGCCATGAAAAAAAATTGTCAGTTGCCTCACAAACTGACGAATTGTGGATAGTTGCAGCACCTCGAACTGTGGTATCGTGTGACCAAATCGGTGGACGGTGCGCCACGTAGTGGCGCACCAGAACTATGGCATACCTCACTTCGTGGTGCAACTGACAATATGATTTATTCTTACTTCATTGCCCGGATCATGGTGGACTGCGTGTTGGTGCCATGCTGTATCGGCGTGGTATGTAGGAAAGCCTGTAATATGCAAATGAAACCGGCAACTGTGACCTTTGTATGGTCTCTTGAAAAATTCCTGCAAATATGAAACTGTGCAACAGACGTCAGTCATTGACCAATAAATGGAGAGGGGACAATGTCTTTTGATACTGGGGCAATGTATATATGTCATACACTGTTTGTTAAGCATCATGCAAGAGCAGATTTTCAAAGTTGCAATGTTCCCCCCTTCCCCCTTTCCAAATGTGCTACTTTGACTTTTTAGTCTAAGTTGGCGGAGAGGGGAGAGGGCGAACTCTCAAAGCCCCTCTTTCAATAGTTAAAGTTAAAGCAAGTTAAATTGGAATAAAATCTGGTGCACTGTGTTATCTGATTGCACATAAATGTAACGATTTGAATTCCCCAGACTAAAGACACTGTTGCTATACCTCATGATTCGGGGCAAACTTTTGCAGAGCGACCACCATCTCTGGAATGGACGGGTTCCTTCGTGCCTTTCTTATTCACTCACAACAGTGTATTGGTGCAAGGCATCTCTTATGTAACTACACAAGAGCTTGCCCTGAATCACGAGGTATAGCAACAGTGTTTTTAGTCTGGAGAATTCAACTTATTATGTTCACGTGAATTTTATTAACTCAGTGTACCAGATTTTATTCAAATTTAACTTGCAAATGGCTTATTGCCATCAATCATCAACCAGTCCTGAAGTCAAAGTCCCAAAGTTCCACGTCTTGCAAGCGCACTGAGGCACATCTTTTTTTGTTTACTGTGCAGAGCTGATTGTAATGTTTGACTTGTGCCTACCGACAGGTGGCATTCATGTGATTGAATGGATTACGGAGGAGTTCCCTAATGTGGTGCACTTTGACATTTCCCTTGACTTTCCTCATGAAGTGCAGCCAAACCTCTTTGTTGAAAGACTTCAAAGTCATTCAGATAAAAACTGGTGCTATAATCTTCATAACGCATGCTGTTATTCCATATGCTGCCGGGGAGCCCAATTTTGGGCACATAGGCTCTATACACGAGACTGGGGATCCCGAAACCAGGAAAAAGAGCGGGGCCTTTTAACAAATGACCGAGCTGCTGGGAATTGCCAACTTTTTTCAGTTGTCAATAGCGGAGGAAATCCGTCCTTATTTTGAGAAATTATACCACTGTTTGTGGCATTCAGCATGAGCAGATTTCAGCAGATTTCCACCGGGGACAAAAGCACTCCAGCGATGAGCGATACAATACCGCTGCATGCTAATCTGGCCCCCATTGAAAAGACACCAGTAGTATACTTTGCCTGTTTCGGGAGCAAAAGAAAGTTACATAACACCGCACAATCTGGGCTCTTTTTACAAGGCGGCAAGCCTGGCTGAAATACTCTGGCGTCAATAGATATCTGTCAGATTAGAGTAGTCACCAGATAGTTAATCGTGTGGGTGTAAATGTCCAGTAAATGAAGCTATGATTTTCTGAAGAATTTTGGAAACGGAAAATCTTGAAAATCTCCTGGTTTTACGTCATGCAACTTCAAATTCCACCTGGCAACAAGTGGTTAGAACAATTTGAGTGTCTTTAAATTGAGTCTGAAGTTCAAAAACGGTGGCGTCTGGAGATTGGGCACAAATTGAGCTGAGCGTCCCCCAACATGGCAGACTGGAACGAATCTCGGCAAATCTTACACTGACATTTAAGAATTTCTTTGAGGTATCTGCATCCATACCAACGCCTGGAATGGCTATCCCGTACAACTTCCGCGCATTATTTCTTTCATCAAAACAAGTTTGTGAGACAATTGTTTTATTATTTTTGGGCACAGTTTGAGTGTTCCCTGGACACTTTAAAAACATACTGGAAAATCAGGCCGAAATAGTATTTCATGGGGACTTTGTAGCAGGTGGGTCATTTCGAGATTTATGAAAGGGAACGTTGAGAGCTTGATGAAATTTCACTTTTGTGAAATGAAATTTCACTTTTTGTGAAATGAAATTTCACTTTTTGTGAAATCAAAGGTAAAAAATACTGCTCTGGCAAGGCACTACAGGTAAAAAAAACCTCAAAGTGCGCCAAAGTCAGGAGCTGCACCAAATTAGGGTGCATCAACTATACTGATCTTCACCATTGGCGTAATACTCTAGATTATGAAAAAAAAAAAATTGGCTGGGTGCCCTACCTGCTGGATCATGGCATCCATCTGTTCGTTGTCTTGGATGCGGAAATACCAAAAGCCAAGCAAGAATGCCAGGAAGTGCAGGACATCGGGGAAGACATAGGAGGAGATGAGATGGGTGCAGATGTGGTAGGTCTCTGCTGCTGGCTCAATGGTGAAGCTCATGGGAGTGGTGACGTTGCTCCCACCATGCGGCACAATCGTTGGTGAAATATCCGTCTAGGGTTAAAGGGTCCACGTAACACTAAAACTGCCCAAAATGCACCTTTAAGTTTCATTTAAACTTATTTTCAAATTTTGCTATTTGGAAGGTATTCTAACGCTTTAGTTTTAATGGCTTTTACGCTAATGTGAATTTTTGTACTCAAAACTGTGATGTCATCCCAGGGAGAGAAACCACAACGATGAAACTGAAACAATGGTCCGAACTTTTTAAAATCCCCTGGGAGGTTTGGAAAAGTTCAGCAATCTTCGATATGCAGGAACCAAGAGTTGGCGTGGTTGACGCCCCTTTCGTGGGTCCACGCCAGAGGCGTACACAGGTGCAGTGGTGTTTGGTGCGGGCTACGCCCAGCACGTGTGTCTGATTTCTGTTGGAAGGTAAGGTCTTATTTTCCCTGCCAACCTGTCTCTAGGGCTGAGTCAATTCGAATAATTCACTATTCGAATATTCAACCTTCAATTTGATCAAATATCTGAATATTCATTCTTACCGACAGGCAGACTGTTGATGAACAATCCATGGACAAAATCAGTTGCAATAACACACACAATTGTACATTATAATCACTGTAATAGCTTCTCACATCAGGGAGAGCCTCCAGCCATGATTTAGCAATATTTAGAGACGAACAATACTTCTTGTCCTATCAAATTTTGTAATGAATAAATCAATTTTTGAATCGTTGTAAGATTTCTGTTGCTTTTCATTTGAGTCTGCTTGAAACATGCCTCCACAGTGCAATTTCTCTCATTAAAAAAAAATTCTCCCTTCGTTTCCGTGAATTTTGCATTTGAATATTCAAATTTGGAAAATAATATTCAAATATTTGATACTTGATCGAATACCCAGTTCTTTTACAGAGAGTGGATTGGCTAATCTCTAATGACGGGTCTGCATTTCTCACTTGGGGGCCTTCCCAAATTTTCCATTATCCAATGTTAAAATCCAATGCATCGTTTGTACCTGAACAAAAAAAAAGCCTTTAAACGCCCATTTGCTCTAGGGTTAGGGGTAAGTTTGAACCATATGGAAGTCCATTGGCAGTGATGCAATGCATACTAAAGCCGTGTACCAGTTACTCGGCTACGGCTTGAAATCATATGTGACTCTATGGGAAACGGCTGCAGCCACAACCACAGACTCATGCATAATATTCAAGCATTAGCCAAGTAATTTGGACACGGCTAACAGTCACTGATTCTGAACGGACAGACTTTCCCTGGGTGAAAGTGGGTTCGGCAGAATACTTTACCGATGGGACAATCAGTGGCACGTCGTACTTCCCTTGGCAAGACAGAATGCGGTAGGCGTAGACGTAGAACATGAGCGCCACCAGCAGGAGAGGGTAGATCACGTTCAGCGCCTTCCAGCCGCAGTGGTAGTTGATGCGGTCTCGTCCAAACGGTCGCCAGCCAATCTGAAACAAACGCATCACGAAGCAACGCCATACATGTCACGTATCAACCTTGTAGAAGATCAACAACGAAAACCTTTGAAAATATACTGACTGCTTTCACAACGCCTTCATTTCCTTGGGTCACTTTCATGGGACGCAGCGCACAAAAATATGCTGAGCTGAGAAAATATTTGCAAAGCAAAACCACTTTGAAGCTGGTTCCCAGCTACAGTTTGCCTCGCTTAATAAAGCTGCTAAGCAGTTATTTTATACTGCAAGGACATTTGCTGGAACGTACACCACCTGAGATTGTGACCAACTGTATACAAATCAGTCAGATGTGAATTTATGGCAATGTCCAACTTTTTAATTCATCGTTTGGCTGTTATGAGGTTCTGGGGACACTTTTGGTCGAAGAAATCTACACATGCCTCACCGACGTCAGAACACTTGAAAGTTTGGTTGATTTCAGACACCAGTTACAATGCAATTTCTTTGTTTTCAAAGTTCACTTCTGCAATTCTAACGTGGGCAAAGCATGTAATCATGCACAGCAATGGAACACAGAAAGCTTATTTCCGACCAGCTCCACTTGTGTCCTCAACTCAGGGAGTCCCTTTTGACGCGTCAGACTCCTTCTTGCAGGTTCCAAAATAACAACCCCTCAGACTCACATTCTTCGTTTGGACTTACAACAAAGAGCAGTTTCCAGTATGGTTTCAGCACCTGCTGCCGGCACACTCGCAGAACGGTTGTGGTGTGGTAGAGGTTGGAGCTGTCTCGACTCTCGCAGTCTGTGATCTGGAAAGTAATGAGCGAAACGA